CAACTGGCTCAGACGGCATTCCCGCCTGGGTCTTAAAAGAGAACGCTGACATATTGGCTTCTTCTGTGGCGGATATCATAAACAGCTCTTATAGAGAAGCTCATTTACCAGAATCATGGAAAAAGCAGACGTTACACCAATTCCAAAGCAGAAACCTGTCCGTGATGTAAATAAACATCTGAGGCCCATATCACTTAACCAGCTGTACTTAAGAGAATAGATTATCATGTTAAACCAGCTGTACTTAAGAGAATAGACTCTAATCAGTATGGGGCAATCCCAAACTCACGTACAACCATAGCTCTACTCAGTATGTTACAATCCTGGAATAAGGCAACGGAGCGGCTGTTCGGGTACTGTTATTGGACTTTAAGAAAGCTTTTGACCTGATTGATCATCACTTATTGGTTGAAAAACTACGCTTATTCGATATACCGAAATGGGATTTAAACTGGATTGTGGATTTTCTCTCTAGAGAAAGCAAAGAGTTATGGTGGCTCCCTACAGTTTTTGAAATATGACAAAATTGTGATTTAGATTTAATTTTTTGAAGAGAGGTTTCTTATTAGAAGACAAAAATTGTACCACATATATTGAGCAATCTTCTAAGAGTTGAAAATTGTTCACAAAAATGACGTCATAACCGTTTAGAACATTTAAACCTGGAACTTAGAACACAACATTTATTTAATATTAAATTCAATACTAAACGCTTTAGGAATAGTTTTATAACTTACAATTCATTGAAGATGTAACTCACTAAAATTTTTTTTACATATTTTTAAATCATACCCTTGTAATCTTAAACGTATTTCAGCTATTTCGGCTGCTAGTTTTAAGAAAGAAATTATCTATCTATCTATCTATCTATCTATCTATCTATCTATCTATCTATCTATCTATCTATAATTATCACAGTTTTAGTACCATGAAAAGGTGCATTATACAATACACAGTGGTTCGGCTTCTGCAAAAAATGTACATATATTAATACTAATCCAAAGATTTATGTATTGTTCCTAATTACTGTTACTAATTTTATTGTAATGTTCTGATTTGCAGATATATGACTGGCAACCAGAACCAAGCGGCAAAGGAAATGGTGTTGGGTTACATTGCTGGGCAGATGATGGTTCCAAAATTGAGGTTTGTGCGCTCACTCGTGATATATCATGTTCAACACTCGAAATAAATCTGGTATTTCCGCGCACCCATGTATTATTCTCTATTTATTATATAGTAGAGAGTGAGGTACTGAAAAATAAGCAGTGACATATTTTCCATATCTTCACTAGTGAAGATATCGATCACGTGATTTTTAGTATTTATACAATTTTTTGCTTGGGACTATATAATAAACAGAACATTACACGGTGGCTTCAAGATGTGACTTTTATCTTCGAGTGGTGAAAACAATATTTTACTCGCTGCGCTCGTTCGTAAAATATTGTTTTCACCACTCGAAGATAAAAAGTCATATCTTCGCGCCGCCGTGTAATATCCTCTATTTATAGTCCCGGGGCGAGGACGTTTCGGCGAAATATTACCCTCGGTGATGATGAAATATCGTCACCGAGGGTAATACTGTATTTCGTTGAATTCTCCGAGCGGCGGTTCTATAATATATTGTACCGAAAGTTGAACAACCCTCTGAGTTGAGAATAAACTTGCTGAATTACTAAGCAATCATTGTTGGAACTATTTATAGACCGCCAAGTGCCTCTCGACTCTTTTACCAAAATTGAGGAGTTAGTTAAACGTATAGATGATGCAAATAAGGAATTTTATATACTTGGTGACCTCAATGCCAACATGCTTAATAGTCTAGGACCTGTATAGGAGTTTGTATGCGTTCCATTTAGCACAGGTAATCTCAACTGTTTTAGTGTAAAACGACCATGGAAGTCAACATGGCATATGTGCCAAAACCTGAATCCAGGACGAGATCTAGCTCTAACTTCCGAAAAGCAAAAGCGACAGCCTTTCTAAAGTGCTTATAGTGTTTAGAAGGGTTGCTTTTAGGGGGTGGTTATTGGAAGGGAAAATTTGTTTAAGTATAATATTTTACAAGAAAATGACCATGCACCACCCCAGGCCAACTGCTAATTGTGCATAAAATAACTAATATACCTGACAGAAATTCAATTTTCTTATTTCCTAAAAAAATTATCATGGGATAAAAAACTATGTGTAATTTAATATAATTATTGTAGATTTCATAAGGATTGTCATTGTTTTCTAGAAATATAATACATTTTATTTCACTTACCCCTACGAAAACACGATTTCAGCCATATTTTGCCGTCTTGTTTGCTTTTTATCGCCGAGTCTCGCAAATATTATCCAGTTGTTGCACTTTTACATAATGATAAACACGTGCATAATACACGTGCTCTCATATGTTATATCATTTCACAATGGCGGACATGGACGAGCGGTGACTATTGAGCGGCGGTGCATGTGAAATCGTGTAGTATTATAGCACAGTGGTTTATCTATGAAAAGTACGGAGCAATGTATACATGAATAAGTGTCAGTGGATAGTTTTGATATAAAATTATATTAAGTCAGCAGCTGATTTATATCAGCTAGCTTTATATTCTCGTATTATTATATCGCGATATATAACCTGCGGAAAGGAGGGACCGCTCGCAGTCTATATCAGCTAGCTTATTCTTGTATTATATCGCGACAGAGCTTGGACGCCGGCGAGAGCCAGTGAACTATAAATGGATTAATGATCTAGACGTGTTTGTAGTGAAGTATATTATTTTTAATAGCAGAAATTTCTGTACTCAGTGGAATATCTGTAGTCAGTAATGTCAGTTTGTATTGTTTCCGAGACGTTTTATATAATCAGTCATTCCAAGCTTTTGTCAAACTATTGGTTTTTCTCACTTGTGCAGTTATGGCATTTCATTGATTAACTGTAAAATATTATATTAGTGAGAAATATTTAGATGTCGGCCATAGTTCTGTTTGCATATTATTAAAGTCATTAGACAGCAACTTCTGGAGCACGTGGCCAGCACGCACTCGACTTGAACTCGTCCTGTTTTCTCATTGGCTTTCTAAATCTGGAAATGATTTCGAATGTCTGGTGACAACAATTTCTTGCAAGCTGTTCGTTTTTGTTTGATTTCGATTTTCGAAGGCGGTTTATTTTGTTTTGTATTAAATGTACAACGGAAAATGGGTAGAAAATTGAATTAAGAAAAAAAATCTGGATTAAAGCCACCATTCAAGGAATTAAGCGATGGAAAATTATCCATGCGAAAACAACAAAATTTACTGTTGTGGCTTACTGGCTTGTAATATTAACGCCAAACAACTTCCATATAGATGCATCAATCCTATTTCATACATTATGCGAATCAACATAAATGTTAATTATTATTTGTCATATCAACTTTGCACTATCCTTTGGATCTCTGAGTTAGTTCTCGACATTTTTATTGTTTTGGTCCGCCATATTTTTGTATCTGCGAAGCAGATTAGCCGATATATTGCTGTCGTAAACGTACTGTTACCGTTACCATGACCGTATGTTAAAATATAGCCATTCAGCGACGAGCTTATATAATTTAAGCCAATCAGCGATTAGTTTACATCAAATGTTTACATCGTGCCCGCATCTAACCCTGCGAACGGGCATACTTTAGCTTCGTGTAGTCGTGTTATTCTTTCAAAAATATCTTGATATTTTTTATCAATTTTATTAATTTAATTTATCTTGAATTGGCTGTCTTGTTTTCTCAACATGGAATCTTATCCTCATCTGGTAAGTAGTCAAATACCACATATTATATATTTAAATACCAAATTTGTGCAAATATATATCCCACATATTTAATACATGAGTTCGGCAAATTACTTGTATATATCAAGAGTAAAAAACTTTTTTTAATTTTGGAACTTTTTTATAACTATAGATGTGAACACAAAAACATATAAATTACTAATTAAAACAAAATCTAGTGTTAACCGCATAGTCAAAATGCCAATTTCACAATGAGAAGGACTGCTCAAAATAGAGGGAAAAAGAAATTTGTTTTTGAATTTTTTAAAATTTCGGATTGCTAACCCCCCCGCTCCCCCCTATGTCCGAGTTTGTCCTGATTTTCCAAAGCCCCCCCCCCCCCCCCCCCCCATCGGCTCGGACTTCCTTTGTGAATGGCCCCTGACAGGAGATATTGAATTAAGTCCTGGTCCTATATTTCTGTATATTGACTCTGTAACTCTGTTCAAAACAACAGTCCAACTATAAAGCTGTCATTAAATGTAGTGTTAGAGCAAAGGTTGAAGATGTTATCAGTTAAAATACTTATACATTTTGGTTTTACACATTAGAGTTAATTAAACAAAATTTTTACAAACATTTTCAAATGCTAATAAAAGAATCCTCACCCTCCCGAGCCTCATTACATTGTCATTTTGCTTTCTAAATGTACATAAATGTTTAACATGAATGTTTCTGTTTAGAGGTTAATACAAGAATGAAGAATAAATGTACTGGATATTGGCTGGATAATTTTGTCAGAGCAACCCACTTGCAAGACAATCTTAGCTAAATTCATTAATATGGAAAATAACTTAACAGCTACAATGAATAATCATATATTATATGGATGGATTTGATCAATGGCACACAATGTACAAAACTAAACTTTGATACTTTCTACTCAAACCGATAATCTCCCACAACACAATTGTTTTTGTGTGAATGTGCTGTACGTGTTAAACCGAACAGTGTTGTATATCATTAACTGTGCACAGAACTGGAATTGAATTATATACTTCACTCATGACCTTCAAAACATTTTCAACAAGACGCTCTGTGGAGCGTTAACTCGCTGGGGCTACACATTATACTGTTAAGATCTAAAGGCTGATTTCCACTGGCACTGTTGCGTTTTTCGTACGCACGTAAAACTTTGAATCCTTCTATTTTTAAATATTTTACAAATAAGTTAACAAATTCATACTAAAACTTGCGGAGCAGTAAATTCTGTTGCATTATTTATTTGGTTATTTTGCAAATTTAAAGTTTTACGTGCGTATATTAAGCCTGGTGTGGAAATTAAGCCTGGCCCCGAGCTAAGGGGAAACTTCCGGCGTTTATCATTGCCCACAAGTAAAGTTATATTTTATAGTACGCTACATTCTTCTGTCGGCCGCCAGTTTAAAACGTTCAAAATAAAATATTTTGGGGGTTTTGGGCTCAAAATATCAAAATGAAGAGAGAAGTGAGACGAACCACTGGAGTACGGCCGAAAAAGAGAAAACCAATGATACCAAAGTTATCAAGGATCAAACGGACTGCATCTTTTATAATTTGAGCGACTTGTCAACAAATAATACAATTTCGCTTGGCTTTCAAAGACAAAGTCAGAGGCCATAAATCGCTAGAATACTGTTGTCAGTTGTTTAGTAATACATTTGATATCCGTAGGTACAATTTCTCATCCGTAAGTACAATTTCTTACGCTGAATCGAACGGTGGTATTTTTATTCTTATTGCGCCATTATTAATTAGGCAATACAAATACAAGGTCAATAGTCTAGGACCTGTATATGAGTTTGTATGCGATTCATTTAGGACAGGTAATCTCAACTGTTTTAGGGTAAAATGACCATGGCGGTCAACATGGCATATGTGCCAAAACCTGAATCCAGGACGAAAGTCCTGAAAATGACCCCGCCCTGAAACGGCAGTGTCGACATAGCTCTAACTTCCAAAAAGGAAAAGCGATAGCCTTTCTGAAGTGCTTATAGTGTTTAGAAGGGTTGCTTTTAGGGGTGGTTATTGAAGGAAAAATTTGTCTAAGTATAATATTTTACCAGAAAATGACTATGCACCACCCCAGGTAAATTGCTGATTATGCACAAAATAACTAATATGCCTGGCAGAAATTTAATATTCTTATTTCCTAAAAAAAATTATTATGGGGTGAAAAACTATGCTTAATTTAATATAAATATTGTTGATTCCATAAGGATTGTCATTGTTTTCTTTAAATATAATACATTTTGTTTCACTTACCCCCCCCCACGATATTTTGCTGTCTTGTTTGCTTTTTATCGCCGAATCTCGCAAATATATCCAGTTATTGTACTTTTACATAATTATAAATGGCTGAAGAAGATTTCAAAGAAGGTTTCATCCACTTTTGTAACAGTGCAGTGTATTGTATCTTCGATATTGTGTCCTTCGATATTTCGTTAAATTGCCGCCATTTTAATGGCTCGCCGCTTCTCTGCCCGATAAATGCCACTTCTTCGTTTTCATATGTATTTAGATTACATTATCCAAGAGTACTTCCTTGTAGAACAGTACCAATCCAAAAATTGAAAATATTATTGGTACTTGGGAGGAAAAAACCTCCCACAATAGTTGTCCTGTTTGAATTCAAAAGAAATAATTTAAAAGTCACGCGCAAGTTCGCGAAAACACCTCGTGGGTTACATAACAGGGGGGAGTGAATATTTTCACGAAACGTTTGTTCGCCACCACAGCAACCTAACTAAATGTATTACATTTTTTGTATTTTTATAATTGATACGCAAATATTTATTGCTTTTATCATAAATCACAAATATACAATAAATATAATGTACTTAGTTAGGTTGCTGTGGCCTGTGGTGGCGAACAAACGTT